GCTGTGCCACCCAAACCTTCCCGGAACAGTGCTACCAACTGGGGGCCAAGTATTCACATATCTGAGTTATGGGACATTTCTCATTCAAATTACTGTGGAAGTCAGCTTTTTAACCATGCTTACCTGGAACCCAGGGTCACATACAAAACAAAACCAAACCCCTTGGCTTCCTGGCTAAGAGCTCTTCCTTCTGTACCCGAAACAATACAGTGTCTTCTATGTCCAGGCTAACCACAACTGGCTTCTACCTCATTGTTCCCTTGACCCTGCTCTTGCTAAGATCACCACTGACCTCCATGTAGCCATCCTGAAGTTGTTATCCTACTAGGCTGATTGGCAGAGTGATTTTAAATTTGTATTATGTATTATTTATATTTTGTTTACTTACTTACATGTATATATGAACACTTGTGTTTGGCTGTACATACCTAGAGGCCAAAATAGGGCAGGAGGTTTCCTCTTCCGTCACTCTCCATTTATTATTCCTCGAGACCAGGTCTTTCCCTGAACCTAAGGCTCACAGTCTCTTGGCTTAGGCTTGAAGCTAGCCAGCTCTAACGATCCTTGTGGGTCCAGTTGGCTTGGAGCTGGGGTTATAGGCGCCAGCAGGGATGCCCAGCTTTGTGTGTGTGTGTGTGTGTGTGTGTGTGAGAGAGAGAGAGAGAGAGAGAGAGAGAGAGAATGTGTGTGTGTGTGTGTGTGTGTGTGTGTGTGTGTGTGTGTGTGTGCTAGGACCCAAACTCTGTTCCTTGTGACTGTGGAACAAGTACCGTTAGCCACCGAGTCACCTCCCCAGCCCTGACTGGGAGTGTTCTTGAAACCTCCTTGAACTGGCTGGTTTTGTGTGTCAACTTGACACAAACTAGAGTCACCAGAGAGGAAGGAGCCTCAGTTGAGGAAACCCATGAGATCCAGGTGTAAGGCATTTTCTCAATTAGTTATCACTAGGGGAGGGCCTAGCCCTGAAATAGTGATCCTGGGCTCTATAAGAAAGCAGGCTGAACAAGTCAGGGAAAGCAAGCCAGAAAGCAGCACCCATCCATGGCCTCTTAAAGACCTCCTGCCTCCAGGATCCTGCCCTGTTTGAGTTCCTGTCCTGACTTCCCTTGGTGATGAACAGCAATGCTGAAGTGTAAGCCAAATAAACCCTTTCCTCCCCAACTTGCTTTTAGGTCATGGCATTTCATTGCAGCAATAGAAAGCCTGACTGAGACACTACTCTTCCATTGTCTTTTGAATGACACACCTTGTCTTAGTTACTTTTCTATTACTGTGACGAAAAACCATGGGCCTAGGCAACTCATAAACAGGGCATTTAGTTGGGCTTACAGTTTCAGAAGTTCAGAGTCCATGGTGATGGAATAAAGGCGTGATGACAGGAACAGCTTAAAGTTCGCATCTTCATCTGCGAGTAGGAGGCAGAGAGAGACACTGGGAATGGTGTGAGTCTTTTGAATCCTCAAAGCCTACCCCCCCAGTGACACACCTCCCCAACAAGGCCACACCTTCTAATCCCTCCCAAAAAGTTCCACCAAGTGGGGACCGAGTATTACAATACATGAGCTTATTCATGGGTGCCATTCTCATTCAAATTGTCACACACCTTCTCCACTTTCTTTTCCTCCTTATGTCCTGGCTGCTTGCTGTCAGATCACATCTCCTTGACTCTAAATGGCTGTATAAGGCCCAGTTCAGTCTCATTCGTTTTACTCTACTTTGTCCATATAACCCTATCCACTTCCGCAGCTATGAATACCATCTGCGTGTTTATATCTCCTTTGTGTATGTTTTTTTAACCTCTTTTGTGTCTAGCCCTTACTGGTCCTCCGACCTTCCGGGCCAACTTGATATGTCTTCTTGATGTCATACAAGTATCTTGAGCTTGAGAATTGAAATCTTGATTTTCTGTTCCCAGGCCTCCACTCCCTCAGCAAGTACCATCTCAGCATAACCTCTGTGTCTCCATCCATTTCCTAGCCCGAATCCTCATATTCACGCCCTTTCTTCCAATTCCGTTCATCATATCTCCAGGCTGCCCTCAAGTCTGCCTGATTCTTTACATTCCACTGTGCTACCATAGCCCACGCTTCTGTCATCTCTTGGTGACCTCTTGATGCCGTGTGACCCCCCCCCAGCTTCAGTCTAGTGGGCTGTACGTCTGTCTATCAGTACCTTGTCTCAAAGGACAAGGACTGCAGTGGTTCAGCGTGCTAGTTATTTGGTGCCTCACACAGCATTTGGCCACGTTAAGAGCTTGTTTATTTATAGACTAAATAAGCAGAATGGTTTCAGTTATGTAAAAATTAGGCTTGTGAGAACTGGAAGGAAATGGGGAATAATTAAAGAGCTGATGAAAAAGGGACTTAGAAAACCCTTTTTGATACTCTTGGTAGACTGAGCGAGGAATTGAGTAAGATATGCGTATACATAAGGAATGTGTAGTTATGCACCAGCATGTGTGACACAGAGAGGATCATGGGGTGAAGGATTCAGCATGACTGCTTCATCCCCAGTGAGGATGAACGGGTTGGAGTTCATTCCTATGCTTGTGTCTTCTGGAGCTTGTGGTGGTGCATTCTCATTACCCCAGCTGTTCAGAGGCTGAGGCGGGAGGATCGCAGAGTGAGACCAGCTGGGTTGGTGATGTACACAGCGATGAAGTGCTTGCCTAGGGTGTATAAGGCCTTGGGTTCAATCTACAGTCAGAGACAGGTAGGAAATGTCTCCTAGAGATGTGTAGACTTCAGGCCAGGTGAACTTGGACGGGAAGAACTTGCCTTCCCCCAGCATGATTCCATGGACTGGACATTGAAAATGTAAAGATTAGGGTGTAGTCTCAGCAAGCTATTGGGGATCAACAGAGACAGCAGAGAGAGTTAGGTAACAGTGTAAAAAGTCTGAGCAGAGGTCAGGAAAATGAGAGCGGGGACTTCCCAGGTGGTCCAGGCCATTGTTCTGCATCACAGCTTCCCACTCTTAACAGGCTCCCTCCTCTGCCTGATGTCATCACAATCTGTTAGCACTTAATACCTTTAATTTCCTTTCTCAATGGGAGGACTAACTGCCTTGTTTCTTTATGTATTTCATTTGCAAGCATAAGTGCAGACCAAACATCAATGCACATAAAATAAAAAAATACAGATATTTCATTTGGAGAAATTTGCCTTAGGACTTTGGAAATTCAAGGCTTTGTTTCTCCTACAAACTACTACACCTCTGCATACAATACATGTATGCAGATACTCACAAAGCCCTCTTCCTGTAATCTCATCATGTAGTTAACCACACAGCAAACCATAGCTAATTTTAAAAGTAGATTGAGCTATATCTGATAGCATTCATAGGAAGTAATAAAGAGGTGGCGAGGGTATCTCAACCCCGGAAGATCAAGGAACACCCTCTTAAATAAATTACGGCCTATACTCATGCAGATGAAAATAAACTCTGTGCTCGGATGGGAATGTTTAGTAATGTAAAGACACGCGTTTTGCTAAAACGAATGTACACATTTGCTATTTCAGATAGCTACACAGTCACCTTAACATCTTTTGGCTAAGAGAACTGTGAATCTCAAATAGATGAATAATGTCTAGGAATTCCTATGGGGATAAAGATAAATAAGGAGACATTTGCTTTACCAGCTTTTTAAAGTAGTAAAACCCTAGCAATACCAGGATAAAAGTGGATCAATAGACTCTGAAACAGTATAATTTAGGAAATTGATTCCAAATATGTTATCATGTATTGCAGAAAGGATATCTTGAGGGCCACCTGGGAGATGGCCCAATAGTTCAGAGCACTTTGCTCTTGCACATGGTCCTGGTTTGGTTCCCAGCACACACTGAGCAGATGATAACCATCCGTAACTCCAGTTCCAGGGGATACTGCCTTCTCACTTCCATGGGCACCAGGCACATAGGGGTACCTACACAGATGTGCAGGCAATACATTCATACACATACAATAAATAAATAAATACATCTAAAAAGCTTTCTCAAGTGATAATCTTGGTTCAGTGGGAAAAGGAGTGGTTTTTGTTTAATAAATGGTTATGATATATAGCTAATTAGCCATCTGGATAAAAATAAAATTGGACTTTTATCTCATACTATATATACACAGTTAAATTCCAGATAGGTTAAAGATGTAAGTTAAAAAAATAAAACAATAAAGATGATGGAACAATTTAATCCTTGTCTGTAAGCTAGAGTGTAGGAAGCACTTTATAGTCAAAACAAGAACCCCTATATTTGATTACATAAAGAGATATTGTATAAGGGTAGGAGATTATACAAACAAAAGTGAAGACAGACAGTAGATTAGGAAAAAGTATGTGTCAGAAATATGACAGATAAGGATTAGTATCTACACCATGCAGAGGGCTCTTAAAAATTGATAAGAAAAACACAGAGCAGAAATGTGGTCAAAGACTCAGAGTATTCAATTCACAGAAGAGCAAATCAAATGTCGCTTGCTTTCCACCAGCTCCTAGAGAAACCCTTCCTCCAGCGGCAGGTTATCTTAGTTGGGGTTTTATCGCTGTGAAGAGACAACATAACCACCGCAACTCTTGTAAAGGAAAACATTCAATGGGGGACTGGCTTAACTTTTCAGAGGTTTAGTCCATTATTATCATGGTGGGAGAGAGGCATGGCAGCAGCAGGCAGACATGGTGCTGGAGAAGGAGCTGAGAGTTCCACATCTTGATCCACAGGCAACAGGAAGAGACAGTGCCACACTAAGCCTGGTTTGAGCTTCTGAGACCTTAAAGCCCACCCCCTAATGAGGAACTTCTTCCAACAAAGCCACACCCACTCCCACAAGGCCACACCCACTCCAACAAGACCACACTCCCTAATAGTGCCCATCTCTATAAGCCTGTGGGGTTGTTTTCATTCAAACTACCACTCAGGTCTAAGGGTGACTTCCCATAAGGCTCTGGGAGGGATAACGATGATACAAACCAGTCCCATGATATGTGTCTTTTCCCCCCTGCACAGACCACAGTGACCATCGTGGGAAGCTTCTCTGCTAGACACTCTGAGTGTGTGGTGAAGAATGCAGGCACCGGCAAGCTGCTCTGCCAGGGGAGAAGCCAGCTGAACCGGACCTGTGCCTGCAACATCCCCAGCAGAGCCAGCTACAGTAGGTGGATGCCGCGGGGCACTGCTGTAAAGTCAAGGAGCAGGAGTACCTCCTGAATTCAGTCCCTTGGAATTGGGATGTTACCTGCTCTTCGCCCTCCCTCTACCACTGGTTCCCGCCTGGGTCTTCACTGCTGCTCCAGCTCCTGTGTCGACCCCAGCACCCCGCCGTGGGATATGATTGGGGAGAGCAGGAGACATTGGCTAGGAGAGCCTAGAAAAGCCAGACACCAGTGGCCTGAGTCTATCCAGGTGGCTGAAATGATTCAGAGTTTTGAAAAGCAGGAAGTGCCTCTGGTGGAATAAGAAAACACTGCAAGTTCATGGCATTTATTCATCCATACATACAGGAAGTATGAACACCTGTGCACAAAGTATTGTGCTAGGTTCCCGGAATATGGAGATGGAGACAGGTTAAGCTGACCCTTGCTCAGAATCCTTATTGGGGTTAAAAGCTGTGGTGTATAATGTTGGTATGCAATGTAGTGTATAAGTGTAGGAATATAATGTGGTAAATGGATACTAGGAACCTATAGCCCTAAAGGCACCTGGGTTGGGCAAGGATCTCTTTCTGGAGTAACGGATAACAGCCTAGAAGAATGACGGGTGAGCAGAAGAGAAAAGGCTTTGATTGAAGAACTACAAAAACTCTATATGAGTAAGGCGAGGGGGAAGGGGCAGGGGACACTGGACAGTGTGGAACCTAGGGGACCATAGAAGGCTGTGTGAGACATGGACTCCATCCTGGGAGCCGTCATGGAATGCTGAGAGGCAGAGCTGCAAGTTGCATGGTCAGATTCATTAGCAGAGAGACACAATTGTGGACCATCTATCCCTCCCACTGGAATAGAAGGCCAGCCCTATGGGGCAGTTAAAAACACTTTGAAAGGGTCTTTGCTATGCGTAGAACTGCATCTGACCCAGAATGTCCATTTATAATCAGTACATTTTTAGTGGGTGGGTGGGTGGATGGATGGATGGATGGATGGCAATAAATGGAGGGGGAAGAGGAAATGAAGGACCGGAATACTTAGTTCCTAAAGAGCAGCTAGTAGAAGAGTCATCACAGTGGTCCAGATAAGAGAGAGTGTAAGCTAGAATTAAGGGAAGATGGATGTGAAGAGATGTAGGGATGTTGAGGATGCTCAAAAGAGGATTCATGAGTCTGTTAAGATGGAAAAGACTTGAGTTAAGGTGATAGCAGAGGCCTCCTAGGATGTGTGGTGTGGTCATATTGGAGCTGTGTGAGTTGTTTGTGAGCAGTGGAGTTAATATTGAGTGATATATAGGCAAATGGGAACTCACTGCTTATAGCTCCAAAGGCTGGGAGATCCCAGCCAAGAGTACCAGGAGATTCGGTGCAGGCTACTCTCTGCTTCAGAGCTGTCTTCTGAGGATGCCCATCCCATTCATGAGGATGAAGTTCTCATGACTGAAGTACTTCCCCCAAACACTCCACTTCACAATATTATCCAATTGAGTATTAAATTCCAAAATAAAAATTTTGACAGTATACCAAACACTGAGACCACAGCACTCAATTGATCCTTCACCCCATGAGAAGGAATTTGAATCACAAAGCCAGAGACATGAGCTAAAAATAATCCCTTGCAGCCATTGGGTCTGAATTCTTAAAAAGTTCTTCAGTTTCCCACCTTGTCACCACTACGCAGACTTTAAAATGCACTTCTGGTTAAATTGGGTCATTAAAGATTCAAGTCTTGCTCACCTATAAAATATGACTTTATCTAAGGCTGACTTTTAAAGTTAATCAACGGCATCATAATCAACAATTTGTCTCCCTCCCCCTACCCTTGACTGAATGCAACAAATTCAATAGTCTACCCATTGACCAAATTTAGTCATGGGCTTTGTCTGTCTCTCTGTTTCTGTGTTTCTGTCTCTGTCTCTGTCTTTGTCTCTCTCTCTCTCTCTCTCTCTCTCTCTCTCTCTCTCTCTCTCTCAGTGTGTGTGTGTGTGTGTGTGTGTGTGTGTGTGTGTGTAGAGATGATCCCACTATGTAGGAAATTCTTCCAACTCAGCCTCCTAAGTCCTAGAATTATATATATGAGCCATCATGTCTAGCTTCATGACCAACTTTGTCTGGCCTTACCTCTACTATCAAGTCCTGTTTACCATATATTTTGAAACACTGGAGAAAGGTCTTGTTTCTCCCATACAGCCTTGCTAGTCTGACCTGGCCTTCCCAGTCACTCTGTCACACCCTTGGTTCTCCACAGGCTCCTATCTTGCACCCAAATGCTACATGGAGCTCAAACTACACACATGGTGTTCCGTTGACTTCTGTGTCTTCTTCATTTTGCCTATTTTTCGTCTTCTAGGAAAGCTGTAAGTGCTTCCAAAGGAGAGACTGTGAATATTCATTTCCCTGTGAAATTTCCAACGTGCTGGGCGCGACTGGTACTCCGTGAAGTCTGCCTTCTGCAGGCATCCTCCCTGGGCACTTGTCAATTCTGTGGAAATATATTTTCCCTGGGAGTCCTTCAGTGCTAAATGGCCATGTGTTCGTTTCCCTAACATGCATCAAGTGTCTGTTCAGGTGCTCCTGGCAAGAGGTCGTGTCAGCCCTCCAGACCTCCTTGTCTTTAGAATAAAAGATTATCATTGCACATAAACCCACTGGATGTGAGCAGCATGTTATGTGGAATTCTAGCCATCGGAGTGAGTCTGTGTGGTGTAGAGCAGCATCTCCATGAAGAATTCTTAGACTCTGGGAACAGCACACTAATAAGGTTTCAGGAAGGAACTTAGGGATGTCCACAAAGAGAGGCCAACTTCTCACAATGTCAGGACTTCCATTTAACAAGCCCAGTGTTCTATTGCCCATGAATTCCTATAAGTAAGGAACTATTAATTCCTCTGTAAGTGCTGGTTCTCGCTTGGATATAAGAGGACTTGAAGGGTGTTGCTGTGGGCTATGTTACCCAACCGATGTCCTGGTGTGCTCATTATGTTGGAAGGGGCATTACAATGTACAGGTTCTCAGCTCTGCTGTGTCGTGACAGGTATAGGCCTGCCTGGTATTGCTATTTCTCTATAGTTCTTGTGATTCTGATCAACAGCTGGGTTTGGGTATCAGTGCCTTGATCCAGCATGGAGGCTTAAGGAGACACTGAAAACAACATTTCTCTACTGCTGACTTAGCATAGGTTTCACCCTCATTTTATTCTTTTGGCGTTTTCCACCCAATGGGTAAGGTTTTCAAAAGCAAACAACAACAAGAAACACAACACCTTCATTTGACAACAGCGGACTCCAAGGAGATCACTGAGCCTCACCCCAGGGTGCCCCACTTAAGGTTTGTTAGGTAAATAGTTGCAGAGTATGGATCTTTCTGAAGGTGCATGGTTTCTTTTCCAACGCACTGGCATTCATATTCTAGGCACTTCTTGCTCGCTGACTTGTTTTATTCTCGTGCCTTGGCCAATTACAAGCTGAGGTAGTGATCCCAGCGAGAGCATGGGATGTAAATGGGCTGTAAAATGGCTTTTCCTGGTGATTATCTGTGGGCGCCTTGGAGCTAGAGTCAGGCTCAGTCTGTTTGGAGGCTTGTGCTGTGCACTGTGGCTGCCTGACAGGAATGGCCCACAGGGAAGAAGCCACATACTGACTCAAATGTTGGTGAACAGCTGGCACACCCATGCCCTCTATAGAAAAGACGTGAATATTTCTTTCTTTATTTTGCATTTCCAGCTATGCTTGACTATGGCGGGAACCCTCTGTGAATGACTCTCTTTTTTCCCCTTCCTTTCCTCCAGATGTCTTAGTTGTCAATGCAACGTTCTTCTTCCCATCCTGGAACTTATCAGAAAGATTCAACTTTACCAACTGTGCATCCTTAAAAGAGTAAGATTGGCTTTGAAATTTAAATGTTCTCGTTGCCTTTAATTTATTTGTTTTACTCCTCAATTTCCTAAAGAACTCTTTTGCGGACTAGAACTTTCCAAAGTGCCTTTTGGAGCATGGCCTAACGGGAGCTAGGAGAGTCACTGAGGTAATAAGCTGTGCTAGTTCGTTCAAGCCCTAACAAGAAAAACTGGAGCAGCTGAGGAGAGAGCATGCGCCTAGGTGTCTCTACCAACAGGGAAAGGTATTTTCCGCAAGCCTTGAGGACCTGGGAAGTAAGGTGTACACTAGGCTCTCCCACAGTGCAAATGCCTTTGGGAGTTTGGCCAGAGCAGTAAGACCCAAACATAAGGGCAATCAAGTCAGACAAGTAGAAGTTTCCCTCGCCATTCATTTTGCTGTCTTTCCATGGTGCTAGGGAATCGAACTCGGGGCTTTGAGCATGCTAAGCAAGTGTTCTACCACTTGGTTACCGCAGTCCTGTGTCTTCCGTTTATTAGGATTGGCCTCTTTCAGCGGTGAACCCTTTGAGTGTGGACCACAGCTCCCTCCTGGCTCCTAAAGCAGAGAGAAGGCAGAGGAGACAGACCTTTCAGAGGCCTACCCTCTGAAGTGGGGACAGAGACCAGGAAATCACTAGAGGGAAAGTGAATGCAGACTGTCAGTTAGCTACACTGAAAGGTGACCGGCCACACAAGTGGGGTGTCGGTGATGTCTGAGAAACAAATTTCAGGGAGAGAAATAGGAAACTTGCTATTGAGAGCCTCCACCCCTGCAAGTAGGACAAAGGAAGAGAGAATGAAATAGGGGGCAGGGAGAGTTGAACGACGTCTCTCTGTTAGAGCCCTTGCTTTAGAGCCCGGGTAGAAGGAAATGACTGACCCCGGTCCCACAGCGAGGTAAGTAAGAGTCAGACCTCAGTGCATCCTCCCAGGGAGCTGCTTGCTGTTTGGAAGTGTGCCTGGGGTGGAGGCTCCCACCTGCAAGGAGAGCTTTCTCCTGCCATCAGGAAACTACTTTCTGTAGGTTAAGGTCTTGGAATACTTCAGCATTCCTTGGAGTACATGAGAATTCCAGCCTAGGTCCACCCTCTGTGTCGTCTGCTCATCACCTCCCGATATGTTTTGTTCTGGCATCCCTTGGACAGCTTTCCACACACACACACACACACTCTTCTTCTGTTTATACCATCTCCTCCCTAACTCTGATCAGTGTTATGCGTGTTTTCCAAGCCCTCCACAGCTACCCATGCACAATGGCTCATTTGATTAGCAGACTCAATTCTTCCTTCATCTGATTGTAAAGCAAACAGTGGTGCCCCCCCCACCTCCTCTCTGCCTGCCAGGTAACGCTTTGTGTCGTACATCGTGTAGTTGGCAGCACAGCTGCTCTGCTGAGTGAGGGCTTGATGATCGGCTGCCGAGCAGTGGCAGGGAGGAGGGAGAGATCCATCTCTGGGGGGGGGGGCTTACCTGAGGGTGGGCCAATAGCAACCAGGTTCAGAAGCAGATTCAGTGGGTTCCTGTTATCAACAGACCAGCAGGTGACCCTAGCTTCAGGTCTCCATGGCAACACTACTGTAAGTGTGATGACAATTCGTCAACTCCCTAAGGGCTTCTCAGAGCAGGGCACAAAGCCTTACTCTCTGCCCCAACCTCAAAGGGGCCACCCTTTCTCCTTGGTCCATCCTAGGCTAGTGAAAGATTTTATTATTAATAGTAGTATTAGCACTAGTAGTAGTAGTACTAGTAGTGGTAATGGTAGTATTCCTATTCTTTAGTGTTCTTAGCATGTAGCACCACAGAGGGAAACCTTGAAGGTGAATAACCCCCTAAAAATGTAAGAATTAAGTCGGTTTTCCATGTTGCCAGATGCCCAGCATGTATAGGAACTGGCTGTGCCTGGTGTAAACCTGACCAAAGATGCATCCACCCCTTCGCGCCCTGCGACCCATCACATTATGAGAGGAATCAGGTAAAGTGGCGTTAGAGGTATTACTCGATCTTTTCAGAAGCAAGTGCTGGTGTGCACCCAGCCCCGCCCCTTCCTGTGTGTTTCACCGTGATGCTGAAGGGTTGCTCTTCAATGCAGGAGCTCTGCCACGTCACTGTGGAGAAGCTGCCCAAGGCCCCAGGAGGAGGAGTCAGAGAGAATCAGAGTAACAGAACGGACCAGTCTTCAAAGGTCAGACTCACTTTTGTGTTGATAATGGAAAAAAAAAATCCCCCTTCAATGACAACTACTACTTTGGGTTTCTTTTTTAAAAATTCCCCATTTTACTTACAACTCAAATCCCTCCCACACCTTTTTTTTGGGTTCATTTTTAACCAAGCTTCACATAATTGGCTCAATACATCAAAGGCTTCACATTCACATAAAAGAAATTAAAATTTTGTAATTATGAAAAATGATGCTGTTCCGGTAGAAGGAGAATCGCAAAGGTGACTTTGTGGCTCACTGGGAAAAGTATAGTATACAGCTGAGGAAACCTCAGTTTAAACACGATGTTATGATTGGACTTGTGATTGGGGTTGGGTGTGGGGGACGGGTCTATACAAAATATGCAAACTGGCCTTGCTTAATTTTTTTCACAATCAACTATCAAACCCATCATTAATAATGCCAAAAGAGAATGGCTGTAGAATGTATGCTCCCTCTTCTCAAAAGTGGTGGCTTTTTCCCCCGTGAAAACTTCCTGAAAACTCAATGTGCCTTCTTCATGGCTACAGTTATCAGCATACCTTCCCGGTGTGAAGACAAAGGCTGTGACTGAGAATAAGTGTGAGCAGGACACCTGTGGCTGTTTAGGACACAGCGCAGTGCTGGCTCCCTTCAGCTGACAGAAGTTCATTACGTGCTTACACGTGGTGACAAACACACACAGTGGACACGTTCCCTCGCTCATTCACGTTGGAGTCTGTCAGGAACAGACAAATTAAGAACAGCACTGGAAGACATCCAGAAGTCCCGGCTTTCGAGTTTGTGACTAATCAGTGGCCCCAACTTGGCCGTTTGCAGCTATTTAAGGTCAAGTGTCAATATAAATCAGTGGCACATTTTTAATCATTACTGAAAAGTTGATAGTAACTTTAGGTAAATTAAGTAACAGGCTGAGGGCCTGTGAATCCAAATGGATTATGCAGTTAATTAAAGCATTCCAGAACCTTGGCATGCCAATATCTCTGGCCTGTAAGTCTCTGAGGCTTAATTAGGTGATGGGCTGCTTCTCTGTTCTCAATGGTTCGTAAGAACTAAGGCACAGTGACAGGAGCTTGGATGGAGAACATAGAAGCTTCTTTTCGTTTAATTACTCTTGGTGGTGGTCGTTTTCAGTTTTGGTAGACGACACAGTACATGAAATTTACCATCCTTGCTATCTTTAGTGTACAGTCCTGTAGTTTGAGTACTCCCTCACACTTCTTGTGCAGACATCACCAGAATCCTGAAACTCGTTCAATAACCCTTCCCCCTCCCCCTCCCCCAGCTCCTGGGACCACCCTTCTGTCCGTAAGACATAACTTACTGTAGGTAACTCCTGTAAGTGGATTCAAGCAGTTTGCCTTTTGTGACTGGCCTGCTTCACTCGTCATTGTGTCCTCAAGGCCCCTCCATATAGCATGGATCGGACTTCCTTTCCTTTCAAGGGTGAATAAAATTCTAGCATATGTATATGACACATTTTATTTATACGTTCTTCCACCCATGGACTCTTGGTTTGCTCCCACAATTTAGGTCCTGTGACAAGTAGAGTTAAAAACACAGGTGTATGCCTGTCTCTTAGAGCAGGTGAAAACTCCTGGGTCATGCTGTAATTTCTTTTTTAAGGACCACTATGCTGTTTTCCACAGTGGTTTCACTAGTTGAAGTGTCCACTAATGGCACTCAAGAGTTTCTGTTTCTCAAATTCTCACTAATGCTTTACCTTTTTTTTTTTGGTTTTGTTTGGTCATTACCAAACTCACAGGTGTGAGGTGTGACCTCAGTGACTTTGACCTTCTTCTCTTTGTTATCTGTGACACCTACACCCTTTTCCTTTGCTTCCTTGTTAGTTGATGTCTTCGACGGAACTCTTTTCCCATTTGTTTTGATCAGTTAACTTAGTTTCTGTTCATTGGACATAAGAAGTATTTTCTAGGTTTTAGCCCCGTGTCAAATGTGTCATTTGAAAATATTTCTCTCCCATTCTCTAGGTTACCTTTCAGCTCTGTTGAGTACATCTGTGGTGTGTGTGTCTGTGTGTGTCTATGTGTGTGTGTCTGTGTCTGTGTGTGTCTATGTGTGTGTGTCTGTGTGTGTGTGTGTGTCTGTGTGTGTGTGTGTCTGTGTGTGTGTGTGTCTGTGTGTGTGTGTGTGTGTGTGTTGCTGGATCTCAAATCCAAAGCTTCACACATTACTGCTCAAGCACTCTATATTAAGTTACATAGCTGGCCTCATTGTATTCTTTGATACATAGAATTTTTAATTTCAATGAAGTTCAATTTGTCTATGTTATTCTTTTGTGTCTTATGCTTTGGGGGTCAGGCACAAGAAGTTACTGCCAAAATTAATGCTGTGATGATTTTCAAACACTCTATTTTCTTCTTAGAGTTTTAGCTCATTTGTGCACACACTGATCAGTCTTTGAGTCCATTTTTGTCTATGCAGTAAGGTGAGGTCCACTCATCCTTCCGTGTATGGATATTGGTTTTTCCAGCACTGTTTCTTGAGCACCCCTTCCCTGGTTCCGTGATTATAATATCCTCACTGACCACCATTTAGGCTTGTGAGTGAGGCTTTATTTCTGAGGGCTCTTCCTCTTAACGTTGCTCTGTGTGTCTGTCTTCATGTTAGTACCATATTGCCTGATTCTGTGTGTCTGTCTTCATGTTAGTACCATATTGCCTGATTCTTACAAATTTTTAGTATGTTTTGAAATAAGGAAGAATTAGCTTTCTAATGTCTTTCTTGTTTTTAAGGATTGTTTTGTAAGAAAGCAACACACAAAGCTTTTACTCAGTTTCCTCTGATGATACCACCTTGCAAAATATAGCTGAAGATTATCAGCCGTGCTAATGGTTTTAAAAGCCAAGGACTAGAATGCTCATCACCACAAGACACCCCATCTACCGCCTCCTACCTCCCAACCAGCTGCGGTGCCTCACAACCACTCATGTGTTGTCCATTTCTATGGCTTTGTCAGTTCAAGAATCTTATGTAAATAGAATCATCGAGATACACCCTTTGGGAGATTAGTTTTTGAAATTACATTTATTTTTATGGATGCGGAAAAGCATAAAGAGTGTACATATTAATGGGGAACCATGCGATGCAATTATCTGGAAATTCAGCCGAGTTCTTGTATGTATCAAGAATGCTGAATAGCAGTCCAGGCAGTGGCTTTTGTAAAGGTCTGAAAGAGAGAAGGATGATGTAGTCATAGCATCTTGACTTCCTGTGTTGTACCTTCCTGTACCTTCTAAACTGTGATACTGTGGTTTTAAAAGCAGGGTTGCCAAGTCTGAAAATAATCCATGGCCCTGGTTTGCCTTCAGTGCCTGTCTTCGGATTGCCCTTCTAAGTTTGGAGAACGTTGTTTTATTGATAGTGAAACATTTACTTTAAATATGTGACTCAGAACAGAATCTCAGGTTTGGTTGTTAGGGAATGGTTTGCTGCTTGGCACAGGAGAGATTTCCTGTGCTCTGTGAAACACTGCTGTCTTTCACTAGCATGCGAATGTGAAACTTTCCTGTTTGCACTGTTGGTTCCCATGTCAGTTTTGCATGGTGGACCCAACTGTTCAAGCAGAGAAGCCACCGAGAGCTTGTCTTGAATGCACCTGCCCACATCACCTAGGTATCAAATGCTTCCGGGCACTGGCAAGGGAGCAGGCACCATCTGAGTCTCTGAGAGGCTGAGCTGGAGTCAGTGATTCCTGCAGGAGGTTATGGGGCATCTGTCAGGTGCTCTCATGTTGCATGCACTACATGGATAGTACATGCAGGGCACAAATGAGTCAAGTCCCTCTCTGGACATCAGTCCTAAAAATTCTATCTATGCAAATATACATGTCAATACAAGATGTAAATATCTATATGTAGAAATAGATACACATATTAATATAGGGCAGAACTGAAAGTACAGAATGTCTTAGTTATTCCTGTTCTTCTAAGCCCAATGCCTGGTGGTCACACATAATCGACATGGTTGGTTAGATCTTTGATGGATGGACTGATTGATGAAAATGACACCAGTTCACCTTAGAGGGGTTAAAAAACATCTAGACAAAATAAGCTGGAAGAGTGAATATTATACGCAAAGTGAGTACTATATGTAAAAGTGTGGTCATGGCCAGAAAATTCAGGAAACCCTCAGTATTTCAGTTTGTTTACATAGAAGAAGCAGGAAACAAATGATGTCATAGAAGGTAAATGATCCAGAGCTTGCATATGTTGGGATGTATATCTCAGCCCTTTGGGGATTTTGTCTTGCTTCTTTGGGGCAATGAAGAGCTCTTCACTGCATCTATTCTTTTGTTTTGTTTTGTTTTTTGTTTTTACGAGACAGGATTTCTCTGTATTGTTTTGGAGGCTGTCGGTCCAGCCTGGCCTCAAACTCACAGAGATCCGCCTGCCTCTGCCTCCCGAGTGCTGGGATTAAAGGCATGTGCCACCACCGCCCGGCTCACTGCATCTATTCTAATGCATGTGTTTGATCATCTGAGGATGTAGTGTTCTTAGAGGGGAGGATTCCTGGTTCAAACCCAGGACAGTTGTCCTCACATTCTCCTAAGACTTACTTGATCCTGGGAGCCCTGACCCAGAAACAGGACCCATCATTTGTCAGGGAACTGAACCAAGGAAAAGCATGAGCCCAATAGGGAAGGTAGCCCCAAGTCTCATCTAGCCTAGAATGAGACATCTATCTGCCAAAAAGGCCAATCCTAATCTCTCTCTCCTGAAACCATATGACTGTTGGTCCTGCTACCCGGCTGGGTGGCCACCTTTGCTTTTATTTCCTAAGCACCTTTTGGACGGCCCTCACCTGCTGAAGGCAGATGCAGCTGCCCCTCCTGAAGATCTGTGGTGTGACGTAGATGATTTCTGGTCATGGTTTTTTGTCTTTGTTGTTTTGGTCTGGTTTGGGATTTTGCTTTGTTTTTGTTTTATTCCAGATGGGGTCTCACCATGTATCTCTGGCTGTCA